AGCCCTTACAGACTTGATGCAATAAAATAACTATGGAACAAAGCTTTTTCCCATTAAGCAGAAAGGATTGGTTAGTGTACATCAATACATTGCTCATAACTAATAGGGATCCCACTGGTGCATATTTTATTTTGTCATCCATCATGAAGGATCATCATGTTGAATTGGCATCCATCATGTTGAATTGGCAATTGCTTGTTCTTTATGTAGGTTTACAAGGTACTAGAAATTTAATCTACCTTAGGTTTGTAGCTTGTGTACTTCTTTGGTAGACTCAAGATTGATTTTATTCTTTGCAATGCTGCACTCTAAAATGATAATCCTGAACATTGTGGGGGATGAGGAGAACTGTGGATTTTTGGTATATTCACAATAATAATAAAGGGAAGTAGAAGAATTCGGCTTCCTAGCAATTTGCCCAAGTGACTAATACAGGAGATCTTTTGGTTGATTTCTACTTCTCCTGCATTGAGTGACTGACTGTGAGTTAACTACTAAATTGTGACTGCACCCTCTCCAAAGTGCTTCCCCCCCCCCCAAACTTACAAGATTTGAATAAAATCTAAAGTAGGTTTGCATTTTAAGTCTTATTTAAATAGAACAGAGCTGATAAGTACCAAGGATGGCTACAAACCAATTAAAATGACAGAGAAAGAGAGGACAGGTATATTTTCCTTTTATGAAAGGAAAAGCTAAAACCTGTAGGGAATGTTATTTTTAACCCAAGTTTGCCCTGTAATATTGCTAATGGGGAAGCAATTTTAGCATACATTTGCCCTGCCATGGCCTCCTGATGGCACAGCAGGTTTAATAGCTGAGCTGCTGAACTTGCTGACTGAAAGGTTGGTGGTTCAGATCCGGGGAGCAGCATAAACTCCCACTGTTAACCCCAGCTTCTGCCAAACTAGCAGTTTGAAAACATGCAAATGTGAGTAGATCAATAGGTACCACTTCTGTGGGATGGTAATGGTGCTCCATGCAGTCATGCTAGTCACATGACCTTGGAGATGTTGACGGACAACGCCGGCTCTTCGGCTTAGAAATGGAGTAGAGCACCACCACCCCAGAGTCAGACACAACTGACTTAATGTCAGGGGAAACCTTTACTTTACTTTGCTCTGGCATATTGTTAATAATAATAATAATATAATAATAATACATTTTAGGTAGAACCCATGGGTTATAATACAGTGAAAAACACAAACATAAAATATATACAATAAATTACATAGATAAAAACACAAAAATATTTTTAAAAACTTGCACAAAACATATAGTAGCAATGGAATGTAAATCAAAACTCATGATTGAAAGTTGACTGGTTAGGCCTGCCAGAAGAGAAGGGTCTTCAATTGTATTTTAAATTACAACAGTTTATTTAGCTACCAAAGGCTCTATATGTGTATGTGTGTGTGTGACAGTGTGTGTGTGTGTGTGAGAGAGAGAGAGAGCCCGTGTGGTATATTGATTTGAGCATTGGACTCTGCCTCTCGAGACCGGTGTTGAGTTCCTGCTCAGCCACGGAAACCTTGAACAAATCACACACTCTCAGTCCCAGAAAATCCCATTATAAGGCAGCTATAAGTATACTTATTTATTCTTTATTTATTTACAACATTTATATGCCGCCCTTCTCACCCTGAAGGGGACTCAGAGTGGCTTACAAGTAAAAAGTAAATACAATATATTGTATTATTATCATAGCAAGTAAAAGTAAGTACAATATATTATATTATTATCATAGCACAGTATTAATTTTATATATTACATTGTACTATCAATATATTTCTGCTTAAAAATAAAGTCCATTAAATTTAGTGTGACTTTCATATAAGTATGCATAGGACCACGGCAACGATATTTTAACATTCTTTATTACAATTTGATTCAGTTGGAAAACGTACCACTTGCCAGAGTTGTCACTCAAAGCAACAGTGTTTACATGTAACTAGCAAAGGGAGGAAATGAGACACATTGCCTAATACTGATTTTACTGGAAAGCTGCTTTGAAGTATTGTCTGGCTGCCGGCAAAAAAATGTTAACTGATACTTAAGTGAGTGCCGCAGTGAAACACATCAAGAAATCTTGTTAAAGAGTGTTTAGAGTCTTCTTTTCTGAACCTTGTAAAAGAGGCCAGTATAATGTTTGGCATGAATTTGAGATTCATGTAAGAAAGTACTTGAAGCTTGTATGCATCACCAATACAGAGAGTTTTTTATATTTCTTGAGGCAGTGTGCATCCAACTTGATAATTTAAAAAAATTAAACAGATTGAGTTAGATCCAGAAAAACGAAAGAAAAAATCTGTTTAGTTAGTGGACTTTCCTAGCTCCCTTTTCCCAAATCATATGCTAACTTATTCAAAACCACCAATTAGAGTTGGTGGACCCTCTAAAATAGCATGGGATGGGGCATGACACAATTGTGGCAAGTTCTTGGTGGGATGGGCATACCAAGCCACCTTGTCTCTCTCCTGAGGAATCTGTACAAGGACCAAGTAGCAACAGTAAGAACTGACCACGGAACAACAGACTGGTTCAAGATTGGGAAAGGCGTACGGCAAGGCTGCATACTCTCGCCCAACCTTTTTAACTTGTATGCAGAACACATCATGCGATGTGCGGGGCTTGATGAATGCAAAGCTGGGGTGAAAATTGCTGGAAGAAACATTAACAACCTCAGATATGCAGATGACACCACTCTGATGGCCGAAAGCGAGGAGGAGCTGAGGAGCCTTCTAATCAAGTGAAAGAAGAAAGCGCAAAAGCCGGGTTGCAGCTAAACGTCAAAAAAACCAAGATTATGGCAACAAGAATGACTGACAACTGGAAAATAGAGGGAGAAACCGTGGAGGCCGTGACAGACTTTGTATTTCTAGGTGCAAAGATTACTGCAGATGCAGACTGGCCAGGAAATCAGAAGACGCTTACTTCTTGGGAGGAGAGCAATGTCCAATCTCGATAAAATAGTAAAGAGTAGAGACATCACACTGGCAACAAAGATCCGCATAGTCAAAGCCATGGTATTCCCTGTAGTAACCTACGGATGTGAGAGCTGGACCTTAGGGAGGCTGAGCGAAGGAAGATAGATGCTTTTGAACTGTGGTGTTGGAGGAAAGTTCTGAGAGTGCCTTGGACTGCGAGAAGATCCAACCAGTCCATCCTCCAGGAAATAAAGCCCGACTGCTCATTGGAGGATACTAGAGACAAAGTTGAAGTACTTTGGCCACATCATGAGGAGACAGCAAAACCTAGAGAAGACAATTATGCTGGGGAAAGTGGAAGGCAAAAGGAAGAGGGGCCGACCAAGGGCAAGATGGATGGATGGCATCCTTGAAGTGACTGGACTGACCTTGGGGGTGGTAACGGCCGACAGGGAGCTCTGGCGTGGGCTGGTCCATGAGGTCACGAAGAGTCGGAGACGACTGAACGAATGAACAACAACAATAAGGAAAAAAACAAAAGTTAAATGGAACTACCTTAGACAAGCTGAAGTGCTTTTCTGCTTTCCCATCATTGAATTCAACCCACTGGTTTGGAATTAAATAGCATATGAGCTTTTGAACATTTGGCTGCACGCCTTTTGTTATTACAAAAAATACGTACACATGCAGATATAGGAAGCAAGATTTCTTTCTAGACAGGTAGCAATGTGAATTTCTCTTCTTTTTTAAAAACGTATTTATTTACTTCATTTATATACCGCTTTTCTCATCCCTGAGGGGACTCAAAGCGGTTTCTAACATATTCCCGGGAAAATTCAATGCCTTACAAAACATGAAAACCTAACATAAAATAACAATAACATAAAACTATCAATTAACTCATTATTTTAAGATCACTTGCTTCAAGGTATAGCCTGTTGTCCTAAGTGTGCTTGTTCTGCTAGTGTATCAATTCATGTAATAATGATGGGATCTGGAATTTTTTTGTTAGTGATGGTGATATATTTTACCTAAAATGGAAATAATATCTGAGTAAATATAGGTAGAGTTGATCTTGAACAAGTGTCTAGAACTTTCTGGAGACAGGCATAACAGTTGGAAAAAATAACAGTTTTTCCATTGGTTGGAGAATGAATCCATAATGGGACTTTTGTGGCATGCATTTTAACAATTTAAAAATTGTATTCCCAAGATGCCCCCATCTGTTCTTAGTGAATGATTAGGGGCACATTCTCTGGATCCTGCCTCAGGTGATAACTAACTAGTCTTTGGTTCTAGTAGGAAGCCTCTGGTGATATAAACTACTGTTATGTCTTGTGTCATTTATAATGCTGAAATGCAGAAGTTAGCATTACCCTCATGGTTCTATTTCATGCAAATAAGCAATCCTTCAGGGTACTTTGGACTCATTCTTAAGGTGGGACAAGTAAATCTTAAACAAAGTTGTTTTTAAAAGTGAAACTTAACAAAGAATGCTTTTCAGAAACTTAAAATGTTATAAAATGATAAATTTTATTTAATTATTTTAAAATTAGGATTTTAAGATTAGAATTTCTCAGTGTGTGAAAGAAAACTTTTATTTCCTGGGATCACTGAAACAAAAAATGGATTTTCAGGTCCTTGAGTTTTCTGTTATTATTGCCTTCAAGGTACCTTTGACTTATGGCAAACCTGTGAATGGGAGACCTTCAGGAATCCTGGTCATCAAGTGCTCCAAACATCACACCGAGAGTCATAGCTTTTATGCAAACAGTTAATTTGTAAAGCACTCTTCTTTTTTTCTCCTCCTTCCTTCCATTACTTAGCACCACTGCCTTTTTTACACTCATGTTGTCTAGTGAGGTGTCCAAAATACAATACCTGTTACTCAAGATAAAGAGACACTGGCGAGCACTTATATTTGTGTGGCATCTCCAGTAAGGGCTCTGGTTGAATCACATGGGAGATCTGTTCTATTCTAAGTGCTAATTGGTTTGTAATGATGAACATTTAGCAGCAGGGGGAATATTAGACGTGACACTTTTCATTATTCTAATGCCTTTGTCATATTTTCAGGACTTTGTCCCTTTATACCAGGATTTTGAGAACTTCTATACAAGGAATCTCTACATGCGGATTAGGGATAGCTGGAACAGACCAATCTGCAGTGTACCAGGAGGCAAAGTAGACTTGCTAGAAAGGGTTTCTCATGACTACAATTGGACATTCACGTGAGTACCAGGCTTTTGAAAGGTTCAAAGAGGCTAACCCTTCGGGGACATTACTGGGGATTGGAATTTGGTATTAGAAGGTGATTGATGTCCTCTGTAGCATAGATGTGCAACTGTTGTCGTAGAACAGGGGTCCTCAAACTTTTAAAGCTGAGGGCCAATTCACAGTCCCTTAGACATTGGCCTGGGGAGCGGGGGGATAGACGTGAACAAATTCCTAAGCATATTGCACATATCTTATCTGTAGTGCAAAAAAGCATGAAAGAACAATACAGCATTTAAAATTAAGAACAATTTTAACCAACATAAATTGACCATATTTCAATGGGAAGTGTAGCCCTACTTTTGGCTGATGAGATAATTAAGTTAATTACAATTGTTTTTGTTGCGTGCCTTCAAATGTTTTTAGACTTGGAGCAATCCTAAGTCTATAAAGTTTAGGGCGGGGGCTGGGTAAATGACCTTTTTTTTCTTCTGTTGAACTCCAAATACCTGCTGAGCTCAATGCAAAATTATTTCCTTTCTTGGTTGCCATGCTAAAAATCTCAGTTCAACTGTTCTTTGACTATGCATAATAGCTGATAATATTAAACTATGGACAGTCTATATAGAAAAGACATCTAGTGTAGTAATGGTTGTCACATTTAAAAGAAGTGGTGTCTTGTTCAAATTATGTTATTTGCGCATCCTACTTTGCTTTGATAGATGTGTCTCAGTCCTCTAGTGTAGGGTGCAGGCAGAGAGAACGTTCTGGAGAGGCAGACAGCAATGCAGATCTTTCCATTAGCAAGTCAATTCATTCTCCTGTTTAGAGCATGCTAGAAATTCAATTATGTGTTATATGCAGTGTGGCTTTGTCACCAGTGAAATCTCCAGTATACTCATGAAACTTTCTGTCAGAAATACTTTTACTGTAGAAAGTAGACACAGAGTATCTCCGAGTGTAGACTTCTGTAAGATGCATGAGTGTCTTCCATTGTCTTTCTTGAGCAAGGCTCAGGCATTAGCAGTCATGTGCAATACATTAGAGATAATTTAATATGTGAAGGGTCTGTTAACTATTTAGAACTGAAAATGACTTCCTAGTGGTATCCTATTTCTGTTGCTGTATATGTTTCTTTATCTGTATTAGAGGAATACATATTTCTGGTGGGTTGTCTGGAAGCCTCTGAAAGTATATCTAAAAAGATGGTTTTGCTGTGGGATGCAATTAATTGAACAAACCTACCAGTCCTTGTCAAGTTTTTTCAAGAGTTTAGTTAACATACTCTTAAAAGAGACTGGGTTTAGATCTGCTGATTACAGCACTTTACTGACTTCCAGATGCACTTCCTTTGTGTGCCTTGAGGATATCCTGCTTGAGGAAATGACAAATGTTTCATACATATAGTTGTTTGGATGGGAAAAGGTTTTAAAATTACCAGAAAGAAATAGCAAGGTTTTATTTGAAATGCTTTCAGTACTGTGTTTTAATTTTTTGAAAAGCTTTCAAAGAACATCTGCTAATCTACAATATGATGGATTTTACATATTTTTTCTGAATAAAGCTAATCATGTTGAAAGATGCAAAAAAAAAAGTCATTCGTTATAATCTTCTGCCACAATAAAAGAAGTCTTGCTGAGTTAACCAAACTGTGAAATAGCAAGCAGTATTTATGCAAACCTATTTTTTGTTGCTTTAATGTGCCAAAACTTTAAAAGACGAATGTGCTGTATCAGAATGCTTAAATATTGCTCCTGATAGTTTTACCTCTAAACCATGTCACAAAATGGCTTTGAAGATCTGGGATTTTAAAGTACTTTGCAGAACGCCATGTATGACTTTGTTAGTTTAGTTTCTAGCAAACTGAAAACTATGTTGGATGCACATATAGTTTTCGTTTTGGGATCACCACCCCCCTTTATAAATTTGAACAAATACTAAAGCCATTGAGGATTTTTTTTTATTGTTTTAAAGAAAAAACAGATGTTTTCAGAAAAATTGAAGTAACGTTATGAGAGCATAACGTTACCTTATAAATTAAAGTTGCTTCTTAACTTTTAAGAACATAAAATGTGTACTTGATAATTTGAGTTGGCATTAAAATGTCATGTTTGATATATTGAAAGTACAAATTGAATTATAAGTTTAAATTCTTTTTTTCTTCCAAATAGAACTAGAAAGTCCTGAACTGTATGTAACATTTATTCTGTAAGGGCCTTCTTTGATTTTTCCAGTTTATGAGAAACCAGTTTACCCCCCACAAGGATGGTAAAACATCAAAAACACCCCCTGGGCAACGTCCTTGCAGACGGCCAATTCTCCCACACCAGAAGCGACTTGCAGTTTCTCAAGTCGCTCCTGACATGAAAAAAAAGTCAAATGTAAAGACAGACACAATCAAAATTAGTAAACTATTGTCTTCTCTAGTTGAAGCAAACATAAAGTAGTCATGTCCATAAAATGAACAGAAAAAAGAAACTGAACCCCAGGTAGTGTGATGTTTTGCATCCATGCTTTTGATATAAGGGAACTGGCTTTTAAAAATTATGCTGATGACCTGTAACAGTCCCTATTGGCAACAACTGTTAGTTTCCTGGAAACATGCAGTAGATTGGCAGCTGAAGTTTTGGGCTCTGTATTTGTGTACAGAGTATGCTATGCATGGTCTTATATAGAAATCTAATTGTAACATCATTTGTAGAAATTATTTGAAGGGAAAAAAAATTCTGAAAATTCCTTGAATGCTTTTAAATAGAGGATAGTTGACCTTTTGTTGAGAGTGCTCTGATTGTGTATTCCTGCATGACAGGTTGTTGGACTGGATAGGTTTTGTGGACTCTTCCAACTCTGTGATTATGAATTATCTTAAACATTTTATTCATTATTCAGAAAAAAATCCATACTTTTTTCTTTATTTTTTTCTGGGAAAATAAAACAGGAAAGGGGGATGTTTTCCCCTACCAACATTTCGTTTTCTCCCAAGCCTTTTCATTTCTCTCTCTCTGAGATATTAGTAACCTAGTTTTTGTTTTTGAATCTATCCATATCCTAAAATACTTTTTTATATATAAAAAACAGGTACACAGGAAAAGTAATAAAAGACATAATTAATATGGGATCCTACAACTATCTTGGATTTGCAGAGAATGCTGGACCTTCTAAGATTCCAGTGACTAAGGTTCTGTCACAATATGGATGTGGCATGTGCAGCACAAGGCAAGAAATGGGTAAGTCCAGATGAGTAACTCGGCATATTAGGTATATTGTATAGGTATATAGGTATATATACCTATATATATATATAGGTATATTGAAATGGACCAAATGTTACAAAACGTTTTATGACAGTTGCACTATCTTCAGTGTTTGAGCTACTACATAGCATTAAAATAACCTCTTACAACCTTTTACCTTCTTGCAGTAATTCCTTTCTTATTTAACAGGAAATGTGGACAAACACGAAGAGCTGGAAACTTTACTGGCAAGATACCTTGGTGTGGAGTCTGCTTTGGCCTATGGAATGGGATTTGCAACCAATTCCATGAACATTCCTGCTTTAGTTGGCAAGGTATGGATGGTTTCAGAGAGAAAACTGATCTAGCCCTGCCCTCACAAGTTTTCCTTGCTACTCTTTTATTTATTCAATATGTATTTGGTTGAAGGAACAGAAACTGTGATTACAAGATATATGTACCTCTGCTAAGAAAACATTGTCCCTTAAGAATAGACAAAAAAAAATCCAGATGTCATAAGGTGAATGTGCACATAGGTTCTGCTTTCTTATCCTCTCAGTCTGAGGTGGGACAAATAAACATCAATGTAATTTGAGGAGTAGATGAGTTTGATTCACCTTCATTTCACTCCAAAATTGTATTGCATATACTGATCAGGTAAGAATTTGGGGGGGGGGGGGGGACGTGTGGAGAGGATTTTATAACTATTCATTACAATGATTTTTTCCTCTTCCATTATATTTATCCAAAACAATTACTAATTACTGTAGTCCTTTAAGTTGGTGAATAGTGTATCATTGCAGAACAAGTGGTAAAACATGTAGATGAACAGACTACAGAATGCTGTAAACATGTGCTTATATATATATATATTAAAAAGACATTGTACTAGTCCCTATTTGTGAGTTTGAGCATGAGTGGTCAAGGCTGATTCCTTACTTGTTACATTCTTATTTTGTCTTCCGTACATTTTTATATTGGGACAAATAAAAGTAATTGCTATTTAAACCTCCTTTTTGTTCACTGTTTGCACATATCAGGAGAAATCTACAGAGCTATATGACCAAATGTCTCATATGAGTGTATTGTATCTTGTTTGTTTTTCTTATATCACAAATTGCTAGCACAGGCAAACATTCCTCCACTCCCTGGTTAGTATGCTGCTTAGCACCCATAGATGAAAAAATCTTATCTAAGTGATTGCTTACTCACGTGAGAACTCAAACATACTTTCACATTCAGTTATCCAACAATTAATTGGAATATTTAGACTTAGAATCATAGAATCAAAGAGTTGGAAGAGACCTCATGGGCCATCCAGTCCAACCCCCTGCCAAGAAGCAGGAATATTGCATTCAAATCACCCCTGACAAATGGCCATCCAGCCTCTGCTTAAAAGCTTCCAAAGAAGGAGCCTCCACCACACTCCGGGGCAGAGAGTTCCACTGCTGAACGGCTCTCACAGTCAGGAAGTTCTTCCTAATGTTCAGATGGAATCTCCTCTCTTGTAGTTTGAAGCCATTGTTCCGCGTCCTAGTCTCCAAGGAAGCAGAGAACAAGCTTGCTCCCTCCTCCCTGTGGCTTCCTCTCACATATTTATACATATTTATACTTGGTTCCTTAGGTGCACTTTTGTTGGTAATTTCCATTTTCATATGTAAGCTGGAGCCATAGAGTTTATCTCTTCCAAAAGACATATCCAATTAATTTTAAATTATGAAGTTTTAATTTGCATTTTATTGATATTGGTGTTTTAATCTTTGTTCTGTGTTTGTTCTGTGTCTTTGTATTTTTATTGTCTTATGTTTTATCTATGTATTTTAACTATGTTGTACCTGAGGCATTGCTTCCCGCCTCTGGAACTCCCTCCCAAAGAAATAAAAATTACCCCCTCTCTCCTCTCCTTTAAAAAATGTCTGAAAACCCATCTATGCACTCTAGCCTATGGAGAGGAGGAGGACTAGAACATCTTAATATGCAATCTCGCGTGGATACTGGCAACTCACCCTGTCTCGGTTGTCTGTTGTAAACCATTCTATACTTTAAATGCATTTTAATTGTTTAGATTTTATTAAGCACTTTTTTGGCTAGTTATAAGTTTATATTATATTACATGTAATATAATTGACTGGTTGCCCTGACACGACAAATAAAATAAATAAATAAATAAAATTTATATTGATATTGTTTTATTCACTGTATTGATTTGATCTGTCTGTTTCTTTTTTATTATGGCATTAAATGTTTGCCACTTTTTGTTTGGAAACTGCCCTGGGTCTTCCTGGGGAGATAGGGTGGGTTATAAATAAAGTTTCTGTTGTTGTTGTTGTTACCCAGGCAACAAATAAAACAAATTATTATTATTATTATTATTATTATTATTATTATTATTATTATTTAAAACACAACAAGATGAGTCCATAGCAGACAAGATCACTCTGCTGGCTGTTGTATTGGATCACACGTCGGACACTTCCCAAGTGTCTAGGACTGTGTGATGTATCGGTGAATAATGCATGCAGATCCCAGTAATGTGGCCTTTTGCAGCTGGCAGATGATAATTTTGTCAGCACCGATTGTGTTTCAATGCAGGCCTGGGTCTTTAGGCACTGCACCCAGTATGCCAATCACCACTGGGACCACCTTGACTGGCTTGTGCCAGAGTCTTTGCAGTTCGATCTTTAAATACTCATATCGTGTCAGTTATTATTATTATTATTATTATTATTATTATTATTATTATTATTATTATTATTAATAGAAACACAACAAGATGAGTCCACAGCATATTATTATTATTATTATTATTATTATTATTATTATTATTATTATTATTATTATATTGCATGAACATCTGATGCATAGTCTTGCAGCATTAGCAGTTTGGAATTCGGTTGGAGAAGCAAGAGGTAGCCTACAGGAAGTGTTTAATTTTTTTCACCCAATAGTCAGCTTAATAGAAGTTAGTGGTTACTTACAGCTTTCTCTCTGGCTCATTCCTTAGCTATTGTTTTCTTGTTCAGGGCTGTCTCATATTGAGTGATGAGTTGAATCATGCATCTCTTGTACTGGGAGCAAGACTCTCAGGAGCAACAATTCGAATCTTCAAACACAACAGTGAGTATTTCTCAGCAGGCTGATTTATTTATTGCCATTAAGTACCTGAGTAGGGAGAAGCATGCAATAATATGGTTGACTCTTTAAGATTAGATTATATACTCCATCAGTAGATACAGTATTAATTATGTTTTCTTTGAAATACTTCTAAGAATTTTTGGTAAGACTCTATCTTAGTCTACATTTTAAAATGGAAATAATGGAAATAATGGGGCCATGTATTGGGGAAGCTGCATTCTGATTAATGGGGAGTAATAAATGAGTATGGGTTGGAAACAACTCCTGCATTGGCTAAACATTTTTATATAGGCTTTGAGATTAAATCTGTTGCAGCTCTGAGCACAAGGGTTGAACAAAAATTATTTGTGTTCTTGTGGCACATTGTAATATGAAAAAGAGCAGTATTATAGAGGACTTTGATAATTGGTTAGAAATTGTCAGTGTCCTCTATAGCATTGAGGTCAGTGTAAACTTTTCATCAGTCATATTGAGAGCAACCACTCTTTCAAGTGTTCTTCCTGCAACCAGGAAATTTAGGAATGCTTGCTTTGTAAATAATTTTTTCCCTTCGCATATTGAGTTTCACAAATTATCTGGATTTGATATGTGAAGGTTGGATGGACTGATTGCATATCCATAGATCATTATGGGGCACTCTAGATAGTAAGAAATAAAAAATTGCCCAGTAATATATCATAATCAGATTATATAAAAGGGGAAACTCGGGGATGTTAAAACAGGAAATTGCCAATGACTGTTTGCAGTATGCATCATTACAAAGTGATTCTGAATATCTGGGGAGCATGCGGAGCTACACATAGATCAATTCAGAATTAGGGGTGAGCTGTGTTGTGAGGAGTGACCAAGTTATTTCTCTCCCTCGTCCTATTTATTTTACTTGTTTATTTCCTTATTTATTTATATCTTGTCTGCTGGTCAAAACTAACAGCACATCTATACTGTAGAATTAATGCAGTTTGCACTTTAACTCTCAAGGCTATAGGATCCTGGGAATTGTAATTTAACGAATCACTAGCAGTCTTTGGTAAAGGAGACTAAAGATTGTGTAAAGCTACATCCCCCATGATGTCATAGTATTGCGTTATGTCAGTTAAAATAGTGTCAAATTGTATTAATTCTACAGTGAAGTTGCATCCTCAGACAAATGGCCAAGCACCTGGCCATATTAAAAAGCATACAAACTACAGATTTCATGTCAAGATGAAATTTTGCTTTCAGGGGTCCTCACATCAGAATTATATCCAATGTGAATTATATCAGATCAGAATTACATCAGAATTATATCCAATTATATCCAGATGAGAAAATATTGCTTCCTTGGTTATTGCTCAAAGTAAACTTGGATGTAGTAATATGTTGATGCTTCTGTTTTTACTCAACATTTCAATGTCCTTTCGAATTGTGTTCTTTTGTATACAGATATGCAGAGTTTGGAAAAATTACTCAAAGATGCCATTGTATATGGGCAGCCTCGCACACACAGACCCTGGAAGAAAATTCTCATCATCGTTGAAGGCATATACAGGTACAAGTATTTCTTCTCCACTACCAGTCTTGCTCAATCTCTTTGGCTGTTGTTAGTGTCCATTTTAAGGCAAACTATAATTAAAATCAAACACATGGGACTCTCACCACTTGCCCGTAACAGTTCTAATTACTTTAATCATACCTAGCAATTAGGCTCCAAGGTTAACCAGTGCTATTAAGTGTAGACCGAAAATATAAATCACTCTGCCAGAGTGTCTCACATCTTAATTTTTTTTATATAATAATCTTTATTAGGTTTCAAATTTACATTTAAAAGAGAGAGGGAGAATAGTGAATTTGTGAATTTAATTTTAAAGAAAACACCCGAAAAAATTGTGATATGTAAAGTGAAGGAAGGAAAAAGAGAGGGGACGAGGAAGAAGGGAGGGGAAACAAGAAAGATAAAAGCCCACCACCACATTAAAATTAGAGTAAAAGATGTTGTTGACTTCCCAGGGTCTTCTTGAGGTTTCCTTTTCCAATCTTCTTCCATCCTTTATTTCGAACTCTTTTTCTCCTCAACTTCTTTCTCCTTCTCTTCTTTCTCTTCTTCCCTTTTTCTCCTTCTAGATCAGAATCTTCTTGTTTTTTTGTCTAAAATAGTCCATCACTTCTTCCCAGTGAGTTTCTCTCATATTCATCCCTTTACCTCTTGATATTAAAAAGGTGAACCTGTCCATATTTTTAATTTCTAAAATTTTTGTTAGTCTCTCATTCTCGTCCGGTATCTCTTTTTGCTTCCACCTTCTGGCGTAGCAAATTCTTGCAGCAGTTGTTATCAAAAATAAGATTTTGTCTGTATTCTTCTCTATTTTTAAATCATGTATACCCAATAAAAAAAGTTCCGCTTTCCATGGTATGCTAATTTTTAGAATATCTTGCAATTCTTTTTGTACCTTTCTCCAATATTCTTTTGCCCTCTTACACGTCCACCAGATATGGAAATATGACCCTTCTTCTTCCTTACATTTCCAACAATCTGTACTATAATTTTTATTCCCTTTGCCAATTTTCTTAGGGGTCATATACCAACGGTGTGCAGTTTTTAACCAATTTTCTTTCAAGTCCGTGGCGTAACAATATTTTAATTTTTCTCTCCAGACTTTTTCCCATTCCTCCTGCCTAATGTTCCTTCTGATGTTTTCATTCCACCTTTTTTTATAATTCTTTTCTCCTTTAACTTCCAATTTCCATTCCAGCAATTTTTTGTATATCTTTGTTACTAATTTGTTTTTTGAATCCAATATCTTATCCCAGAAATTCTTTTCCTGGTTAAAACCCATCTTTTTGTCGTTTTTGTACTTTTCCTTGATAGTCCAGTATTCCAACCATGATATTCTTTGTTCCATCGTATTTAATTCTTCCTGTGATTTTAGGATCAGATCTCCTCCCTCTTTTTTCAGTAGATCTTTGTACTTTACCCATTCATGCCATCCTATACATCTTCTTTGCCCTGCTTCCAAAGGGGAAACCCACATTGGGGTTTTGTTACACAGCCTGTCTTTGTATTTTTCCCATATCTTCAAAACCGTTGATCTTATAAAATGATTTCCAAAATTCTTCTCATATTTCTTGCCCTTATACCATATATAGGTATGCCAACCTTCTCTTAGGTCTGATCCCTCCAGTATCAGTAACTTCTTCTTTTCTAATTTTGCCCAATCCTTAGCCCAGATTAGCGCATTTGCTTCCATATATAATTCGAGGTCTGGAACTGCAAGTCCTCCATTCTCTTTCCTTTCCGTCAAATTATCAAAATTGATTCTCGACTTTTTATTTTTCCAAATAAATTTTTTAATATCTTTATTCCACTCCTTTATTATTTTTTGATTTCGAATAATCGGTAAATTCTGAAATAAAAATAACATTTTTGGCAGTATCATCATCTTAACTGTGGCAATCCTCCCTAACAGTGATAAGTTTAAGTTCTTCCATCTTTCCATTTCTTTCTTTATCTCCTTCCAGTATTCTATATAATTATTCTGTAGCAATTGTAGATTTTTTGACGTTAATGTTATCCCAAGGTACTTCAGCTTTTTGACTATTTGTATATTCCATTTATTTTTTATTTCTTCTTGTTCATTTTTTTTTAGATTCTTAGTTATTGCCTTTGTTTTTTCCATGTTGATTTTGAATCCCGAGACTTTACCGAAATCTTTTATTGTTTTTATCCATTCCTCTAAATTATTTATGGGGTCCTCAATTACACATATCACGTCATCTGCATAGGCCCGTATCTTGTATTCTTGCCCTTGAATCCTTGCTCCTACCAGCTTTTTTTCCTCCCTTATTTTATTTAACAACACTTCTAGAGTTAGGATGAAGATTAATGGTGACAAGGGGCAACCCTGCCTCGTTCCCTTTTTTATCTCAATACTATTTGTTTCTTTCCCATTTACCAATACTTTAGCTTCTTGTTGACAGGGGGCAACCCTGCCTCGTTCCCTTTTTTATCTCAATACTGTTTGTTTCCTTCCCATTTACCAATACTTTATCTTCTTGTTTTTCGTAGATCGCTTCGATTGCGTTCTGGAAGTAAAATCCTAAATCCATCTCTTTCATTATGATTTTAAAAAACTTCCAGTTCACATTATCGAACGCCTTTTCAGCGTCTAGTGCTAATAAGAGTACTTTGTTTTGATGTTTATTTTCATAGTATTCTATTAAATCTACAATTGTCCTTACGTTTTCGTTTTGATGTCTATTAGGCAGAAAACCCGTCTGCTCTTCTTCTATGTATTCATCCAATAGACCTTTTAATCTTTCTGCCATTATTAGACTGAAGATTTTATAGTCAACGTTCAGTAACGAAATTGGCCTATAATTCTTTACTTGTTCTTTTTTTTTTTTTTTTAATATTCTTTATTGAAATTTTCATATAATAGGAAAGTTAAAATAAGAGAGAGAAAAGAAAGGAAAAGAAAAAAAAAAAAAAAAAAGGACCACCCACCAATTAAAAAATAGACAGGTAAGGTAAGGAAAAGAAAAAAAAAAAAAAAAAAATCTTGACCCCCTGGTGTCTCCGTGGAATCTTTCTAGTCCATTCATTTCAATGTCCATATCTTTTATACTTCTTCTTTCCCTCTTATTGTCGTACTTCAGTCTTTATTTGTCATTTTCAAAATACTATTTCCTTATTCTTATTTTTTAAATATTCTGTAACTTCGCTCCAGTCCGTTTCTTTCCTGTTGATTTCTTTATTCTTCAGCAGTAAAAAGGTAAGTTTGTCTAAATTCCTGATGTCTAGCATCTTTGTTATCCATTCCTCTTCACCCGGCGTGTCTTCTAGTCTCCACATCTTTGCGTAACACATTCTTGCGGCTGTTAGTGACAGGAACAGGACTTTGTCTTTATCTTCCCCTAAGTTTGTCTCATACATCCCTAGTAAGAATATTTCTGGTCTCAGGGGTAACTGTATTTTTAGCATTTTCTGAGTTTCCTTATGTATCTTTCTCCAGAATACTCTTGCCTTTTCACACGTCCACCATAGATGGAAAAAGGATCCCTCTTTGCTTCTGCATTTCCAGCATGCGGTGCTTGTGTTGTTATAGATTCTTCCCAATTTTTTGGGGGTCAGATACCATCTTTGGGATATTTTAACCCAATTTTCTCTGAGCTCAACTGCATATGTAAACTTTAGTCTCCTCTTCCAAATCTCCTTCCATTCCTCTCTTCTAATATTTCTGTGTATATTTTCATTCCATCTTCTCATGTAATTTTTCTCTTCCTCTTTTTCTAAATGCCAATCTAGTAGTTTTTTGTAAATCCTAGTAATTTGCTTCTTGTCCGTCTCCATTATTTTGTCCCAGAATTCATTACCTTTTGCAAAACCCAACCTTTTATCAACTTTAAATTTCTCCTTAATCTGCCAGTAATGAAACCATGTTATATTTTTATCCATTAATATTAACTCCTGCTGTTCTTTCATTTCTTTCTCTCCGTGTTTATCTTTTAAAATTTCTTTATATATAGGCCAATCCGCCCATCCTAAACATCTCCTTTGAGTCGCCTCTAGCGGTGAAATCCATAAGGGTGTTTTTTTATACATCTTTAGTTTATATTTATCCCAAACTTTTAGAATTGCTGATCTTATAAAATGGTTCCCAAAATTTTTTTCTTTTTCTTTCCCTTTATACCAGATATATTGATGCCACCCCGCCCTCAAATCTATCCCCTCCAGAGTTAATAATTTTTTTTTCCTTAGCATGGTCCAGTCTCTGGCCCAGGTTAGGGCACATGCTTCGAAATATGTTTTTAAGTCAGGTGTTGCCAATCCCCCCTTTTCTTTCTGTTCTATTAGATTTTTATAATGGATTCTTGGTTTCTTTTTATTCCAAATATACTTCGTAATATCTCTATTCCAATTTTTTATTAATTGCATATTCCTAATTATAGGTAAATTTTGAAATAAAAATATCATTTTAGGTAAAATTTTCATCTTAATCGCCGCGATCCTTCCTAGTAATGACAAATTTGTTTTTCTCCACTTTTCCATATCTTTTTTAATTTCTTTCCATTTATTTATATAGTTGTTTTGTAGAAGTTGTAAGTTTTTTGCAGTAATCTGAATTCCTAGATATTTTATTTTAGAAGTAATTTGGATCTTCCATTTCTTATATATTTCCTCTTTCTCTCTTTCTCCTATATTTTTAGTGATTGCTTTTGTTTTTTCCCAGTTTATCTTAAAGCCTGCTACTTCTCCATAATTTTTTATTTCTTCCAGCCAGATTCCTGTCTTTTCCTTCGGGTTCTCTATAATACAGATTACGTCATCTGCAAAGGCTTTGTACTTATAATCTAATCCTTGTATTTTAGCTCCCTCCATATTCTTCTCTTCTCTGATCTTTTTAAGCAACACTTCTAATGATAGAACGAATATTAGGGGTGATAAGGGGCATCCCTGTCTCGTACCCTTCTCAATTTGGATCGTTTCTGTTTCGCAACCATTAATTATAATTTTCGCCTCTTGTTTTTCATAAATTGCGCCTACCGCGTTTT